AGACTATACATACACTGTGTGCATGTTAACTTGGAGATAAATGAGACTATACATACACTGTGTGCACGTTAACTTGAAGATAAATTAGACAATACATACACTGTGTGTACGTTAACTTGAAGACAGACTAAACATACACTGTGTGCACGTTAACTTGAACATAAATTAAATGTAAGTTTTATGTCATAGAACAACAAGATTTTATTGGATTGATAATATCCCCTTTTTTTGACTTTCACCAAAGAAACAACAAATACTACTTTATACAGTTTACAAAATAGACATGACAGTACAGATGTACTTTGAAATATATTGGTGATGAATGAACAGTGATATGATAGAACAATGAACTTGACAGACACATGATATACCACGATTTATGAGTTCATTGTTTTAAGTTTAGGACTAAAAATGATCTGAATTCTAGTACTATGCTTAGGTTACTTCATAACAAATACAAATTCTGTTCAGGTTGTAATTATTAGTCTGAAAAGAAATTAAATCCAACAAGAACTGATTCAATACATTATTAGTCACTTTTCCTATAACCAAGCTTTTAGTTATCCTGCTACCTTTAACTTATGCATCTCAGCTTCTAATTTAGCTGTCTTTTCCTGTAACATCTTGTTCTCTGACTCTAATTTCTCTCTGTCTCGTTGAGCTTCAGTCTTGAAGTCATTTGCCACTCGGACAGTGGTCAACAGGTCATCCTGGAACCGTTTCCATTCGTCTGTCTATTCATTAAAGAATAACAAGAACTTACAACATTACAGCAATAACAAGACAAGACTGCTCTTATTGAATATAATTGCCCCTCATGTTTTATGCAAATCTAATGGTTAGTCATGTGATCTGAAATGCAAATAAGATTCAATAAACTTATGATCATTTGGCACATGTGGTTTTTTAACCCTTTTGTTGCGCAGTTTGGGTATATCCCAATAAACTTTTATACCCACTGACTGTGAAATTTGGATGTTTATATGCCTTGTTAGAAAATTGACAACTTTGCAGGAACACACATAGAATCTATATAAAGACAGCTTCTTTATATCTTGGATATTGTTATCTAAATAATTTATTTCATATTTTGTAATGATTTTGGCCTCTTACTGACTTAATTTCACCCTATATTTATTCCATTTACTGGAGAACACTTTTCTTTTAATTTTCCTCAATTTTTTGTTTAACTCATTATTTTTTACTATCCCATATGGTTTTCAGGAAATATTTCTGTCAGATATAGTAAATACAGTTTCTTTTAATACTGAAAAAATAATACAAAGGGTCAAATTAATACTTTTATTTTTTGGTGGATAATTGACTTTTTGGGAATCAATCAGCCTGAAAATTAATTGTGCAATGAAAGAGTTAATATCTTTGCCTGATTTGTTTTTTTTTAATTTCCCGCAAAGCTACACGGGGGCTAACCGTCCCTAATT